ATCAACTTCTTTAATTTTTGCTCCCACATTTTGTTATGAGCAACATAATCCCCTAAACTCGATTATTTTATCAGCATGGAAGACAATTTAAACAGGATTAAGGATTACTTGACCAGTGAATGAACATGTCTTGTTGCTGAACTCAGCTAATTCTCTGTTTGATGTTATTTCTGATTACATAACTCTTGTTGTTTTTCTTTAAATATGAAACTTATTTTTTTAAAGTTGCTGTCGGGGCCTGGACTGCTCTGTAAAAGATACTTCGTATTTCATAGGGAAAATGATAATGGTTATACAAACATGTACAAAAGAACAATGTTGTGAATAATAAGGATATTTTATAGCTTGGTATACTTTAAGACATCAGTAATAAATAATCTGTGGCTACTGAAAATTACTTTTCTGCTTCTTTACAATGACCGAAAAACTAACTGTAGCTTCCTCAGGTTCGCCCTGCAGGGATAATTGATTTATTTTTTCATCGTATGTTCCTGCGATTGACCGGCCCCCTGAGAACGTAGGTCAGCTGTGCATGGGGTAACGTTAACATTCCTCATGTTGGCCTCTCAGTGCTACACGTAGCTATCATTTACCTCCAGCGTCTTTGAATGAAGACAAAACAAGTCCAGTAGCATGGATTCTTTTGAAAATCAAAACAAAAAAAAATTATAAGTGCCACCTCATTGAATGGACCACAGCAGGCACACACTGTTAGCTACAAACTGCTGAACATAATGAACTGGTGTTTCTGAGGAGTTGGACCAAATCGGAGCTATACGTTTGCCTTTAATGAGTTTAGATCCATCAGGCGGATTGAGAACATGACTCCAACAGAAAGACAATGTCGCTGTGTTTGCAGGATGAATTCAAAGGAAACTTTTAACGCTTTATAAAAAGATGTAGGCTAAATCCCTGAAGTCGAAGAAACAGACGACGGTTAACGCAGCTTTCTGTGAATATTGTAAAGCATTGCTGTGAAAATTTAACCAAAGAAAAAATGAAGAATTATATTTTTTATCATCATGAAGTAATATGTGATATTTTTTAATTAGGATATTTTACATACTTGATAAATCCCTGAGGGAAATTCTAGTTTTGCACTCTGTTATTGAGAGACATAGGCACACATTATGAGTGACTTTAGCTGAAGCTAGCTTTTAGCTGCTTAAACTGTTTCTGTGTCCTTCACACTCTGTTTGGGTTCAACTCGGCTCTAAAGACCTGCACATCGGGCTTTTTTCACTTATTAAAGAAATCAAGAATGTGATGACTTCCACTGAAGACAAAGTCCCTCAGGCTCTGTTACATCATGATCCTCCTTCAACTTTGACTTGTCCGAATTAGCCTGCAGCTTTTTGTTTTATAATCTTTCTGTCTTTGCAGCATCTCTTTAGCATTGCAGTTAACGGACAAACGTCAAATTATCAGAATTATTTCTCTGGATTGATTTTTAAAAGAGTTAGTCATCAAGTCTACTTGGTCAGAGCTGCATTTCACTGGCTTAATTTTTTTGGCTAATTTAGCGGCATGGTAAAATCTAACCTTTTGAAATTGTAGCGGAACACAAAACAGAGAGAATATAACTAATTACTGGTACGGACGGAGCTGTTACTACGGGAGTAAATTGAGAGCAGCAGCAGTCAGTGGTGTGTTGCTCATCCTCAGTAAATCTCTAAACTCCTCCTTTATGTTTCCTTGCCTGCTGCAGCACACAGGCGCAGCCAGAAGCTCCATACGAGTGGTTGATGGAGGTGTAATGACAATGACAATTATGGCAATTATGTGTTATTGTAGGCCATTATGTGTTTTGTAGGTTTTTGAGATGTAGGCTTTTTCTGTAATTGCTGGCTTGTGAAAGGCATAATAATGCTGGGCCAGCCAACCACAGGGGCTACCAGGGGCAACCAGTACCCGCTGCCATGGTAACAAAACATTTATCTGTAATGCCGCTCTGTGGATGGCGAAGACAAGAGCATTGGCAGCAGGCAAATTAGCCGTAATGGCGGGGAGCAGAAGACGAGGGGGAGCAGGACAGTAGACAGAGGGAGAGCTGATGGGTGCTGCAGATGTGTGGGTGGGTGGGCCCGTAATTAGGAGGTGGGCAGAGAGTGGGTGACTGTAGGAGGGAGAAGGTATGATGACCACCTTTTAGACTGTGTGTATTTGCTAGCAGAGTGCAGAAAGGAATATCTGTGTGTGTGTGTGTGTGTGTGTGTGTGTGTGTGTGTGTGTGTGTGTGTGTGTGTGTGTGTGTGTGTGTGTGTGTGTGTGTGTGTGTGTGTGTGTGTATGTACGTGTGCTACCAACCAGGGCTCACAACAGACGGTAAAATAGTCCTGAGAACATTATAACAGATGGTACACAGACCTTCGGTGTTTATGTTTGTGTTTAAAACTTGAAGTGCTCAGAGACTGCAGGAAAGCTTTGTCATCTTTCTCACATGGCGGCCATTTTTCTCTGATGTCACGCTGAAATGCTGCGTTCCAGGTTATTACCAAACAATTTTCTAACAACCCTTCAGTCCCTTCAGCTTTCAATCTGATCAGTAATAGAAAGGGTAACCGATAGTTAAAATGTGGAGGGAAATCTGGTCTGCTAGAATTCAAGCACTTCTAGATGTTGTTAGCTAACATTTCGTAACTAAAGTACCATAATATTATATTTTACAAGTTGACATCATGTAGGAGCCTGTCCAAATGAATAATGCAAAGCTAACTAGCATCCAGCTATTTCCTACATAATGTTGTTAGCAAGGAAGTCACAGGACGATAGTAATAGGCCCCTATTTTGTAATTCACACTCTACAACACATAGGCTTATATTCTAAGGGACATAATTATAGCTTGGTACAAACAACTTTACCCATCTTAATATGCTTACTAGCTAAAGTTATGTTAGCTAACGTTGGGTTATCATAAAGGTATTTTTGTTTTTAGATTCAATCAGGTTACCCGCTGGATTTTCACCGTCAGTTATTCAAAAAAATGTAATGCAAAATTTGTACAAATCAATATCTAAGGAGTTTAAAAGCATGTGTGAAAGGTCCCAGGAAGTCAGATAAATTGATGCTAGTGATGTCACACCAAAGTAGCATCATGGGTAGTAGGGCTGTCACAATATCCAAATCAAACGATAATGGAAACCTGATTAAATACCATCCTAATCAAAATAGAAATCCTAGGTACCAAATATTGGGTAGTTTCTTGATTTGAATTACCCCCCAAAAAATCAGGCAAACTCCTGCATGCTGTCTAAATTTCATAAATGCATTGACAACATTTGTCCAATTTCACACAGTTCTCTGTCTCTCTCGAATCGGCTTTTGTTATAGATATGACTGAAGATCGGAAGTGTTTTTAAGCGTCTGCACTTTTAAATGTTATCAATTATTAAAGATTTTAAATGAAACATTGGATACCAAAATGTATCAAAGTATTGAAAATTGTGTCAATCTTTGTGGGGTGTGTAGGTGTGAGATTTCAAAAAAATACATGTGTGTTTGAGTGTGTGTGTGTGTGTGTGTGTGTGTGTGTGTGTGTGTGTGTGTGTGTGTGTGTGTGTGTGTGTGTGTGTGTGTGTGTGTGTGTGTGTGTGTGTGTGTGTGGGGTGGCTGGTACAGGGACTCGCAGACCTGCCCAGCATGGCACAGAGCAGGAAGTAGGCCAGAGGGGGATTAAATGGCTGCTGCGCTACTTCCTCCAACAACCCTCGGCCCATATGATGTTGTGTGCGTGTGTGTGTGTGTGCGTGTGTTTGTGTGTGCGTGTGTGCGTGTGTGTGTGCATGTGTGTGTCACCATTGGAAAACTGAGAGAGGGAGCCAGGTCCCTGCAGCAACCGGCTCCAGTCAAGTGTTAAGATATGACATCATCAGCTTGAGGCAACAACAAATTTGTGTGTGTCGAGTGTGTGCATGTGGGTGTTTGTATGACTGTGAGGGTTAACTTCATGTCTTACTTACTGATTTCTGCTTTGCTGAGACATCTCTGATATTTAATGTCATGACTTACAAAACTGTGTGTGTCTGAAGCCAAAAAAAGAAAAGGACAGATATGACATACTGACTCTCTTAGTTCCCTGGCTTTCTGTCTGATCTGCAACATTTTTATTTCAGTTATTTTGAGTTATTATTTTGCAGAAACTACGTGTTTGATCTGGGGTTTCATGTTGGTTCAGTTTCTTTACAAATTAAATGTAAAAACATGAGCTGAAGACAGACCAGAATCAAAAGGGAGAAGTTTTTTGTGATGGAAGAAGTTTGACGTTAGAAGAGAAGCTGACATTACTGTGGTAATGATTCAATCATCACATTCCTTTGTCTTTGCATTAAAATTAGATTTTGGAACATCTTTTAAATTGTTAGATAGATTGGCCTGAACAGATGGTTCAGGCCAAGGAGGTGACCTGACCCTCCTTTCAGGCAGTCTTTGGTTCAGTCCCATTATACCCTTTGCACTTACCGTTAAGCACTCCAGTACCCTACGGTTTTTTGTTCAGTTCTAGGAGTGAGGTGATTCTTGTCCAATTTGATGGTTAGGGTTAAGTGTAACAGTTACATGGCCCTTTAAAACAGAGTTTCTCGAGAGGCTCATGCCGAAGAAGTGTTATGAGATATCTCCCAGAATGCCCCTCCATCTACGTTTATTTTTCTGTTTCTGTTAATGCTGTTGACAACTACTGAAGACGTAACTGGGTCTTGAATGGTCGTCCTATTACGTAGGGGGAGATTTCACCACGCCCCCTTTTAACTCTGTTCTGAGGGGCAAAGGGAACTTGAAAATGAGGGGTAGTAAGTCAGTAGTCAGTAATAGCTTACCTCACTACATAACAAGTAGCTGGTCCAACACTGTCTTTCTGTAAATGGTATAATACCACAAACCTTTGTGTTAAAATTGATAATAAATCTCAGAAAAATATCCAAACATCCCCAAAATCAAAGAGTCATGAGCTCTAAGCGTCAATCAACAGGTCCAGGACCTTTCAGTAACTCAGGTACTTTACCTCCTTGAGACAGCCCATGAAGTTGTTGCTGACTGGAGACCCGGGCAGGTCAGCGGTGCTGGGGCTTCCACCCACGTAGAAGAAGTCGTCAGAGCCCAGCATGGTGTAATCCTCCTGGGTGTAACCTGTTGTGGTCAGGATCCCGTCCACTGATATCGTCACCTGATGATGAGGGATGAACAGTCACAGTCAGCGTTGTAAAAATCCCCACTTAGGTGAACAAAACGACCTGAGTTAATTCTGTGTTAATATCTTAACAGAAAATCGGCTAGGTGACTTTTTGACTTGGCAGTGCCCATTTTCAAAACAAAACCACGAAATTCAGCATTTTTAGCACCAAAGTCCTAAGCTCGAAACGCTCTGAGTGTCGGCTGCTTTTGGACTCTGCACTCAAAGCGCTCTCAGTTGAAAACAGTTTAACTTTTGAAATAGTGCCACGCCCGATGGATAAGAAACCAATCAGACAGGACAGAACAGGACTTCATGTTGTTTTATGTTTTCTTTGTGAAATTTCCCTAAATAAAAGCAAATATAAGCAACACAGAGCTAATTAAAACACACTTAACGTACATAACGGAGTGTAATTTTGGTAACCTAGTAACAATAAGCGCCGTTGAGAAGCGCTCTGACACAGCGAAATGTTGATAGTGGACAGAGGTTCTTAATATTCAACTTAAGTCTGATCTTCTATAGTGTCAAAATAAGTGAAGAGGGAAATAAACTTTTTAATAAATCCCAACAAGAGTAGCATGCAGGAAAAATAAAAATGATGGAGAAGTTTTCACCACACCATACCACACCGAGTTTAATGCAAATATGCAGGACACACAGAACTAACACAGCGTCATTTAAAAGGATTGGGACCTCTGATCTAAACGATGGCATTTTTATTAACACAAGAGTCTCAAAATGAGAGATGGAAATTGTAAGTCACTACTTTGAGGCCCTCAGTGTACTTTGGACTTTTACTGGTACTTGGATTTAACTCCATATTCAATTTAAGGATTGACTAATGTACACTAAGGGAGCTTCACTGTGGTCTTGTTAAAATGGAGGAGCATATATTCCAGGTTTGATATCAAAATCTATAATTGGTTAATGGATGGATAGATGCACATTAAAGTGAAACTCCAGAAAATAAATATTTAGATGGACAACAAAAGAGGATGACATTTGAGTGGAAAGCAAAGAAGCAGTTTGAGGATAAACCAGGCGAGAGCAAAGATCAAGAAAAGTCAAACTCAAACAAAACTTGGAAATAAAAAAAATATTTTTTTAAAAGAAGGGAATCTCCATGTAGAAAGTTAAAAAAAAAGAGACAAAACAGAGGCACAAAACAAAATCTGAAAAAAAATAATGATATCTACCATACAGTGGAGTGTGTTTACAGACAGGTATCCAGTGCCTGATTTCTTTGGGAGGTGGGATGGGTAAGACACAAATACATGACAGTGAACAATGGGTTTGAAAAAATATTCAAATGAATCAAAGGAAAACAAAAATAAACAAAAATGACCCCTTAATTCTAGATGCCATGGGACTGACACTTTTTTCTATTTTCTGCATTAGAAGAAAGGATTCTGAATATAAAGTATGAAACATCAGGGCGCTTATGGCCTAGCAGCTTGGTAACCCATGTATGGAGGCTATAGTCCACCAAGCAGGCGACCCGGGTTCAAGTCCAACCTGCGGCTCCTTTCCCACACGTCATTCCCTACTATCTCTCTCTCTCTCCTGGGTTTCTGCCTCTTTCCACTGTCCTATCTCATAAATCTCTTTTTGCCTTAAAGTATGATTTGTTGTGTTTTTATTTCTCCTCTTCTTGGAATATGTTTGTGTTCTGTGAATAAAATCAGATTTCTGAGTTAAATCTCAAAAGTTAAATTGATATTTCAGTATAATCCTCTCTACTAAAGATTCCAATAGGGGAGGTCAGTGAACACATCATGTTGGGCAGCCGGACCAATCTGCTAGACCTTAAAGACAAGTCACACCAGCATAAATGATTTAATTACTGATTTATAAATGGAGGTCAATGAAAATAATCCTGGCTTCAAAGTCCATCCCTGTAGAACTTCTTCTAGATTATGTTCTCACTTTTGGTCTTTTGAGTATAACAGAGACTTCCTCAATCCCGCATTCAATTTCCCTTTTGTGAGCTCTGACACAAATCTATTCTACTGAGGCAAGCAAACAGTGCAGACAATGAAAGGCATGGTAGGTATAGGAAATTATATTCATCGAGCTGTGGCATGCCATCCAGTTATAAACCTACTTCAGATGTACAAACTCTTCAGTCAATGTGCCAAGTTGGAGTTCAAATGCAGCAAAGTTTGGGAGGCTGTTGTAGGTGGCTAACTCAATACTAATAATAGCTAGTATGTAATAACTCAACTGGAGTAAGGCATCATCAATATTCTGTATTAAAAAGGCCAACAACCAACCATTACATTCACTATTTTCCATATCACCCTCCACCTCTGTGCGTACCTGCCGCAGGTTGCGTGTCACTTTGACATCGTGCCACGAGTTGTCGTTGAACTTCCCATTGACCGGCTCCACGATGGCCTCAAACGCTCCTGAGCCCAGGTTGATGACGAGGGACACGGCTCCGTCCTTCAGCGCCAGGTTGACGTAGTCAGCTGACTTGCCCGTGTGGAGGATAAGGCCATTACGTTGCCACGTCTTGAAGGAGAGCGTGATTTCGTCGCTGCTGCTCTGGATGGGGTTCTGGGAGAGATCGTAGCAGAAGTACTCCGAGCCCCGGAAGGTGGCCACGTTCTCTTCCCTTGCTGTGATGAGAAGAAGAAAAGAAGAAGAGAGGTGTTGGGAACAGAATATTTAAAATCATCAGACAGCATGGCAGATTCAAATTAGGCATAAGATTCAACCAAGGCTCAAATTCTGTCAAAGCAAGTCCAAAGATCAACAGTCCAGTCAAGACAAAAGTCTCCATCAGACAACTGAAATTCAAGTGCATCTCATTTTATGCACTTGAGCTTCTATATCGCTTTTCTAGTCTTCTGACTACTCAAAGCGCTTTTACACCGCAGGTCACACCTACACATTCACATCCACCCACACACTGATGGCAGAGGCTGCTATGTAAAGTGACCATCAGTAAAACATAATCCCATTCATACACATTCACATGCCACTGACAAAGCAGTGGGAGCAATTTGGGATTAAGGGTGCACTCACACTAGGCAAAGTTATCCTGTACAGTGCTGAAGCATGATTGTCCACCCTCACCATTCCCAGTTGGCCTGCACTCACACTGCTGCAGGAATAACCGGGCCTGAGCACGGCTACCTCGTCGTAATAAAACACATGCATGGCTTCTTGAAGCGTGCTTAGTTCACAAGACAGGCAGACTCCAAAATAAAAAAATAAAAAGGAGGCTAGGTCGAGTCCCTGTCCCAACTTCCGAGAACAACACAGAGAACATGACAGCCACTTTATTGACTTTGTGTCTTATTTTGAGTCATTTTAGTCAGATGCCACCAGAACACTCCGGGATTTCTTGATAATGAAGACTGTTCACTTTGTGTAACCGTGCTTCTGCTTGTGCATGAACAGTACCGTGCCGAAGCACACATCTTCCAAGTGTGCCAGGGACAAGGAAGTGTACCATCTGGGGCACTCACTCTACTCAAACGAACTGGACTTTAGGGGTGAAGCGTGCTTAGGCACGGTACGGATTTCCTAGCTTTTATGTGCCCTAAGTGTAATGCCCAAGGACACATCAGACATGTGGCTACAGGATCTAGGGGTCGAGAGACGACCAACTCTTGGCCCTAATGCTGAGATGTAGACTTTCTATTACATAGAAATGTAACACATATATTTTTCCCACCAGAGATTTAAACATGCATCAGGGAAATTAATGTACCATCACCCAAAACCATAAACAGAAAATGTTGACAATAAAACATGTTGTACTTTTGTGTGGGGAGTTATAAATCATTAACCAAGTAATTATCACTGTATAATTTAAGTCCTTTCTGACTGGAAAATAAATAGATCTGGAGACTTTCCAGAAAATTTGAACCTTCAGAAATATTCAGCACATCACAGAGAGAAATGCCTGCAATGACAGAAATAAAGAGAGACCGCCGATAGCTATCATCTAACGACATCAAAGGCCTAATCTTGCCAGTTGAAATTGCCATTTCCTGTCAAATAGCCGGCTTGTGACACAGTGGTTACGCTTGTGATGAGACGGAGAGGCAAAGATGGGAGGAAAGCCACAGAGAGAAGAGAGGAGAGAGAGAGAGCCCCGACTGTATTTTTCACTTTTGTAGCAGAGAAAGGGGGAATACAGGGATGTGCTGATAGAAAGAGAGAGGGCTAACACAGAAAAATGGTTCAGTCAGAAGTCGTTATCTGTGAGATCATCCTCAATTAACTCTCTGTCGCTTAAGCAAAAAATACCAGACTGTGAGCTCAGCCACAACACAGCAGCACAGCACAATCTATCAGCCAGCGAGACGCTACGAGGATCCGCATGAGTGCAGCTTTCATGTGCACTGCAACAAAGCCCCACCCCCACCCACCACCCCACGCTGAAAAAAAAAAAGAAAAGAGGGAAAAATGAAACAAAATGGCCACGGCTTTCATCTCCTTAACACAGACACCTCGGGCATCACTTCCTCAAAGAAGACTCATCCCACACAACATGGGCCGCTCCATCATGACCGAGGGAGTGAACGGTTCAGTGTTTCGTTTACGGAGGCTTTGAAAGCTAAAATGAAACGACGATTATATCTGCAAGACCCAATTAGACTCAACCTCACGTGCTTTCACCTGCCACCCTCCCCTTGTCATTACTCAAAATGCAAAAGACGCAAACATGCATCATTCAAACAACGATGTACTTAAGATTCATGTGGCTGTCAGAATCTTTATGGCCTGAAGCTCAACACTATTTCATGCATGGACAACCAAAATATGCATTGACTAAATACAGTGTAGACATGGGTGTAGACTCTGGTATAGAAAGTGAAGCCAAGGGGGGCACCAGATAGCCTAGCAGTCATATGGCACGCCCCGTGTACAAAGGGCTATTGCCCTTCAAGTAGGCAGCCTCAGGTTTGAATCCAACCCTCGTCCATCGACTCCATATCATTCCCCACTCTCTCTTATCCTTGGTTCCCAATCTATCCACTGTCCTATCTTTGAATAAAGGTGAAGCAAATGTAGAAGTGCTTTAATACTGCATTCATTCTAATAGCCAGCAGGGCGGACTCCAAATCCAAAGATATAGACGCAACAATACATATAGGCTACTTCCTGCAATCCCAATAGTGTGAAAGAGCCATAAATCTGTATCATTTCTAAAGAGCAGAAGGGGGCAACTTCAGTGTTAGCAAAGAGATGTCCCTTTGTTTGAAAGCATTTGGGAAAAGGACATTTTGACCCATGATTTGTTATCACAGTAAACATTTTCCCAATGACTTTAAGGTCTCTGAGTCACTGATGTCAAGTCTTCCTTCCAAACAGTACCATGTTCATTTGGTGAATTATGGTCCAATTAAGAGTGACGGAGCAGGGTATATTTAAGGGCTTGGTAGCTGTGTTTGACAAGATGCTGCAAAGGTGTCCGGTCAACCATGATACCCACATAAAAATGAATAATAATCATTATTGTAACTTCTTTGAATTGTAAAGCTAAATTTCCCAGCTTGAGGCTTCAAAAGTTGTGTTCACAATCCAACGGGTGACGCCATAGAGGCTTCACCCACGTTTTGTATTGACCAAAGAGTCTGAATCAGAATTAAAATCAGGGCTTTTTTGTTCACGTATGCTGGTACAACAAGTGTTTGTGTTTCAGAGTAGGAAGCATGGAAGTAGTAAAATCAATGCAGAGTTGCATTAAACCTGCCCTGCACCCGTTGTCATGGGTGACTCCAATGGTTGCAAAAAGAAGTCTGATTTTATGAAACCAGACGGGAAAATGTGTACTATATACCTGTTTTACCTCTCGAAATGAAAAACTATTTTTAGCAGTTGATTATCCATCAATATTAAAAATCTAGATTTCAGTTATCTCAACAATAAACTCAAAATGTCACAAAAAAAAAGGGCGAGCTTTCACAGCCCTTCTAAAACCATCACAAGTTATCTCAATGTCCTTCCAGTACCTGAAGTCTCTGACAGTTTTACTCTCACAACACTCCAATGATGGGAGAATGATCAATTATTTATTTCCAGGGATGATTTAAACAGAGCACTCCTTTATTCACCGGGTCTTTAATGCATAATGTATTGACAATAGTGAATACGCTGATTTACCACGAGTGTAAGGCCGGGGATAAAAACGTAAAACGTGGAGGGGGTAAATTTAAAGTATTTAAACTGAACAGGGAAGCTTTGATGTGAATTCAAATACTTTCAAACCATATATACTTTGTAAGAAAAATAATTTAGGAAAGCTAACTACAATGTAATATGCCAAAAATACCAGGATATCCTCCAGTATGCAAGCTACAATATACGTAGTGGAAGATCTGTGACATCCACTGGCAATGCAACAAATCTAAGGGCATCAAAGGTCAAATTCATGACATGTCCAATTATATGTAAAGATCTTCTGAGGCACTTAGTCTGTATGCGCAGCTGCAATACGTCATATAGCATGATGAAAAAGTGAGTGGTTTCTAACTCGGGGACAGTCACTAAGAACTGCAGACGCTCGGCCCCCTCAGTTCTCCGCTGCTTTTAACCTAATGGTGTGATCTCAGCCTGTCATCACACAGGATTAGTCCCACATACGAGCAAATCAACAAAACACTCTCTTAGTGTCTGCAGTGCACGTGGGCCGAGCAGCGTGACGAGGGAAAAAAAGGGACAGAATGGGTAGAAGAAGGACAAAGAGAAAGCGTGGAGAAGAGAAGGAAGTACTTTTAAACTGTACGTTCATATTGATTCTGCAGCGGCGTAATAATGGCGTCCCAGTCTGTAAATTCATGTTGCGTTTCGGCACAGTGGGAACTCCAAATAGACGCACAGTGCTGAGCCCTCCCGTTGGCTCCACTGAAACCATCTCGCCCCTTTAACGCCTCTGTGACTGACTCTGAAGACAGGGGCGTACATAACACGGCTTAAAATGACAGTCTGAATAGAGCTTAAGATTTCTATAGTAGTATGTTGTATACATAACTTTGTATTAGGTTCCATATTTAAACCAAAACCTAAACTTTACCTAAACATGGCCGACTAGTTTTGGTTATTTTTGCTTTTTCAGAAGGTTCACAACATTTTTATTATTCTTACCAATACACAAGAAGTCCAGTTAAATCCTGCTGGTTGATACGCATGTGTAATAGACGATCAGGCATTTTTATTCCAACAAAAGTAAAGTCTGTGTGGAATTAATTTTTATCTAGTTGAATTCACACTCGCTGGACATCAACTGTTTATGTTATGGCACCAGCGATAAGAGCATTTCCTGTTATCTTTTGGCCCGCCAATGGGAAACTGCTGCATGTTTAAATGGCCTCCAAAGGTGAGAGAGCATACCTGCTTCTCTCTCCATCTACAACCTTGAGAGGAAAAAATTGCTCTATGTGTATAGAAGTCCACCAAGAAAACTTCCCACGTTTCATGGCTGGTTAAAAAAAGAAGAAGAAGAAGGGCAGTTTTATCCAAAAAAACAATCAGTACTGCAAGTTTCCAGTTGTTATGTTATGGACCTAAACATTTGGTATAAGAGCAGAATCCTTGTATTTCTTTATAGAGAAAGAAAAGTCAGCCCAGGATTACAGTCACCCAGAGAGGTAGTCATAGCTAT